AGAGTATGTCCTAATTATTTAACATATCACTTTCAATGAGACTTTTCAAGTCACATAAAAATTCAAGAATTTTATTTACATTAGCTACGAATATAATTGTATGTACATATATCTGTCACAAGTCTTTTTAATTATTTACTCATTTTTATTACATTGTTATAACGAATAAAAATCAAATACTTACATCTTTAGCACAAATACATTACAAATATACACATACGCTGCCGTAACCAACGCAGCAGACAGTGTAGAAACTGCAGATTGCACCCCACCTGATGTGTGTACATGAACATTCACACATTGGAGACCCGTGCGGACATGACAAGTCTTCACTCATCGCTACTTCCCCCTTGCCCCGCAAGTGATTCCCCCCGCTATCTCTACCGAACGTCCTTAAATACCAGCAGAAGTAATAACGTTAGTTTAAAAAAATGTAAGACTTATCCATCATTACATTTGTGACCAAAAAAAATTAAATTACAATTTGACAGTAAAAATATTCAACTATGTAATTACAAGAAGGTTACCTGTCTTTTGTTTTATTTTCGATAGTTTTATCAAAAAATTGGTTTATCTTTTTAAAATTTTACCTGATCCGCAGTAGCATCATGAAGGGCTTTAAAAAATTTTGCAACAGTCCCATGTGCACGAACATGCATCCGAAATGCAGGTGCCATACATTTACTGGCAAGTCTTATTGCTGAAAGACATCGGGTAGCATTAGGGTTGTTGTCTCTCAGGGTATCCATAATGTAATCCACATCATCGTTGAACTCCTGAAACTCTCCACTTTCTTGAATTTGATGAGCTTTTTTGACGTTTTTTACAACGGTATAAAACTGTAACAATTTTAAATTGTATAATATTTATTAAGTTACATTATTTCATGAAATAATTTTTTTAAAACAATTTATTGGAGAACTACTGACATTTTGTGTACACAAATTAGCAAATAATTAACTCAATTTTTAATCCCTACCCCCTTAATGCATGACTTTTTATGACATTGTATATCATAATCATATAAAATAGCTGATGACTTCTTTAAAAATAAAATATACTTAGGCAAGATGAATCAACGCTTTCTTCGGTTTGTATTACAACTTAATCTTAACAGATATAGTAATTATTCTTAATTTTTTTTTTATCACTTAAATTGTTTTTTAATACTTGGCACATACACACATAGGCATTAGTGCATGATTCAATGGATGTTGGAGATAATTCGAAAATTAAAAAGTCATACTGAGTAAAGTCTCTTAGGATGAAATATGTATAGAAATATCATAGAGGTAAGACTGACATTTGCTTAGCAACACGTCACAATAGTATAACACTGTTACTTTAGTTAACTTGTTGAGTAATCAGCTGATTTCGTCTTGCTCCTACGATACGATAATTTTATCTGTGCTTATGTCTGATCCTCTATAACCCTATACTTACTCTTGTATATTCTAGGAAGCTAAGGTTACAAACTATTCAACATTCTTCCTGCTACTTGTAACTGCTACAGTAACTTTACTGGTTATTTATTGAAAGGAATGAATGATCGATACAGGACGCTGATGCGTTGCTGCTAAGTTCAGCAGAGCTTAAAAAATAAAATGAATATACGAGGACAATGCTGTCGAGTCGAAGATATGATGGCGGCTGTGCTCACTTTACTCAGGGTTTTTCTTCTACTCTTCAGCCTGACCGTTGATCAGCAGCCACGGCAGTATGCCGTGCCTCCGGAAAGCGGCTGAAGGGGCGGGACGGTAGCAGGGGCGAAATACAAATCAACAACGCACCCACCTCGTTTTGTAAACGATTTCAGCTCTCGCTCGTCAGACTGGACGGACGTTTAGCACTGGTGTCTGTGGGGTTGACGTCGTCGCGGTTGGAACGGTGAACTGGCTGTAGGGAATGCTTGCTGACAGCACGGAGATATTCCCCTGTAGACGTCCAAATGGTGGCTGTTTAAACAAGCCCATCGGAACCAGGATGGACGGAAACTATGCGACACAGCCGCCAGGAGCTACTCGACTGGAGGAGAGTAGCGTCTATCACAGCTACGACGTCATCGACCTGAAAATTGCGGCGTGGGGTTCTTTACTTGGGTCGTTACTGAAGCGTGTTCAGGTATTCACGGCTCCAACGGTTTCAGAAGTGATCTTGAATGCCGCGAACAAGACTCCAGTGAGTCCGTCGATCCAGCTCTTCAGGTGGACGAGCACCGCCGATGATGGAGTTTAGCAAACTAACAACAAGGAAACGTCCAGGAGTGAGGATGTCGATGTCATCAAGGCCGCTGATCAATGGGGTAAGGGGGCGGCTGTTGAAAACCACCTCAATACTGGTGAGGACTGTAGAGAACTCTTCGTAGGTGAGGTGTCACGGACCGATGACACTCCGCAGATGACGCTTCATAGACTTCACGCAAGCCTCCCACAGTCCGCCAAAATGCGGGGCCCGGGGGGAATGAATTGCACTTGATCCCTTGGTCGTTGAGAGCGCCAGCAACGCGATTCCACTGCAACTCAGCGTCCTGTAGAGCCTTGCGAAGTTCTCGGTCGGCAGTGTCAAAGCAGGTAGCGTTGTCGCTCCGAATCTCTGCCGGTCGGCTTTGTCTCGCACACAGTCTTGTGAGGGTCCCCAGGAATGACTTGGTCGACAAGTTGCCAACTAACTCAAGGTGCACAGCCTTGGCGGGCATAAATACAAAAACCGCGATGTATCCTTTGCTCTTGCAGATGCCTCGGCCCTATGCCGACGAGATATTAAACGGGCCTGCATAATCAACATCGAGATGAGAGAAGGCTCGAGTGGGTGTGATCTGCACAGCCAGCAGAGGCACCATGTGTTGCATGGCGGGCTGTGCCTGGAGCAGCGCGCAGACAAAACACCTTTTCAAAAAACTTTTCAAAGAAGTGTAAGCACTAGTGACACTAAGGCCTCCATGTAGTGCTCATGCGTGAGCCCAGTAAATAACCAATCGAGCCAGATGACATCGACCACTATTGGCTGAGGCGGACGCACACGAGGTATGCATCACGCAGCTCAGCGATGGTCAAGGGTGTCAGGGCGGAAGCTGGGTCCTGACGCAGCCGACGGCGGATCCATCGACGTAATCGAGCGAGGAAGAGCAGCAGAAGGCCCAGATCCAAAAACTTCCCCAGGATGTCTGAGACGTTACGTTGAATGGTACAACAGGTGTGGGTAGCCTTCTCGCAGTCCGAGCCAGAGAGCTTGGAAGGCCCGGCAACCTTGGCCGGTCACGAGTCTGGAGGGCCTGCGAGCCATGGTGGACCCTCCCACCAGATGCACATATGCTCCAGTGTGGATAGGTCTGTTCCCCGGGACGCTACGTCCGCAGGATTTGAGTCCATCGGGACGGGTCTCCGCGAGCAGGAGAGCAGCAACTTTTGGGTTATTGTCACGTAATTGTCGATAAGCGAGTTGTTGGTGGGCTCTGACGATCGGGGCCAATGAAAAATCTGAGAGTCGCTCCAGGCATCACAGTCCTCGGGAAGAGCGGAATATTCCCCAGCAACCAAGCGCAGCAGTTTTGCAGCTTGCAGCTCCAGCTGAGGGATGATCATCCATGCCAGATGTGAGGCATCCGACTGTAACCCTTTCATGGAGGTCAGTTTAGTCTGGGCGATCAATAGACGTACGGTGACACCACCAGCCGGGTCTACGGTTTGCGAGTACATGACTGCTGCCATGGCACGACGGCTGGCATCCACATATGCATGGAGCTGAAGGTTGTCGTGTGGACGCCAGTTGATCCAGCGAGGAATGGTGATTTTGTAAACTTCCTGCAGTTAAGACAGGAATGTGTGCCATCGCTAGACCATGGGGGCTGGTACGAGTTTGTTCCAATCAATTCGAGCGCGCCAGAAATCTTGGATGATCATTTTCGCGACCAGAACGACGGGGACGATCCAGCCACAGGGATCGAAAAGACGGGCAAGAGTGGCGAGCATGGTGCACTTAGTCTGCTGCGGCTTGAAAGTAGGTGACGCGAGATGGAAAAGATCACCGATCGGATCCTAACTCACACCAAGCTCATCGACAAGGCCATCTACGCTGAGCTACCACCACGTCGGCTTGAGGCGAACGTCCGGATCGTGCAGTAGCTTTGGCTCGTTGGCGACCCTTTTTTCTCAGCAGGAAGCCTCCCACCCGCAGCAAGCCGATCAGTTGATCGCGAACGGTCTCGAACGGTCTTTTTTTGTTCAAAATAACCTAGAGACCACACTTTTCATCCGATCTTAAAATTTTTTTTTTAAACTAAAGCTAAGAAGATTTAGAAAAGATCTCTGGAAGCTGATTTTTATTTTTTTTTTTTTTCTAATTAGTTGTAAATAACCTCAAAACTCGAAAAATAACAGAGCCTGATGAATAAAACACGGTAAATCAATTATTGGGTAACTTATAAGGCTCTAAAACTACCAGATATTAGAGGTATGATATAAACGCTTAATTTTCATGATAGTAAGAATAGTACAATGAATAAATCCAAAATGGCGAATCAAATATGGTGGACCAAAACTCAAAAATTTCTCAAATCACGATGAAAATCACTACTCAAGGGTTTTTAAGGTCGCTGATTACGAATCTTTTATTGCAATTTGTATTTCCAAGATGGCTGATCCAATATGGCGCGCTCTGGGCTCAAACGGTACTTTTTTGTTCTACATAACTTAGAGACCTCACCTTTCGTCCGATCTTGAAATTTTTTTAAATTGAAGCTAAGAAGATTTAGAAAAGATCTCTGTAAGCCAATTGTTGATTTTCTTGCTTAAATTAGTTGTACACAACCTCAAAACTCGAAAAATGAGAGAGCCTGATGAATAAAACACTATAAATCAATTATTGGGTGACTTATTAGGCTCTAGAACTGCAAGATATCAGAGGTATGATATTAACACTTGATTTTTATGATAGTAAGATTAGTACGATAAATAAATCCAAAATGGCGAATCAAATATGGTGGACCAAAACTCAAAAATTTCTCAAATCGCGACGAAAATCACTACTCAGGGCAGGGGTTTGTGAGGTCGCAGATTACATGTATGTTATCTTAATTTTTAATTCGACTATGGTAAATTTCTTACAGCAAACAAAAACACATTACCTGATCACTCGCTAAAATCTTGATACAAATTTTGATTCAGGGTTTTTTGGGATCACTGATTACAATTTAATTATCATCATTCGTACAAGGCAGATCTAGTAAGATGACCTAACCTACAATATCTAATACAAATTACTGTACAGAAATAATAAGGAAACATAAGAAACAATAATACTTCATTGTGGTTTCCAGTTTATATTTTTGGATTGGTCATCTCAAAATTGAAAAATGAAATAACAGATTTCAAATCAGTGACCTCCAAAACACCCAAAAAAACTTTTGCAAAGATAAAAGAACTGTACAGTATTTGACATGCCATGATGAAGCTGCCATCTTGAAAATACAAATTGCAATGACAGATTCGTAATGAACGACCTCACAAACCCCTGAGTAGAGATTTTCGTCGCGATTTGAGAAATTTTTGAGTTTTGGTCCACCATATTTGATTCGCCATTTTGGATTTATTTATTGTACTATACTTACTATCATGAAAATCAAGTGTTTATATCATACCTCTGATATTTTGCAGTTCTAGAGCCTAATCAGTCACCCAATAATTGATTTATAGTGTTTTATTCATTAGGCTCTCTCATTTTCCGAGTTTTCAGGTTATGTACAACTAATTTAACCAAGAAAATCAACAATCAGCTTCCAGAGTTTTTTTCTAAATCTTCTTAGCTATAGTTTAAAAAAAAAATTTTAAGACCGGATGAAAAG